AAGAAAGTAACAAGAGATAAAGAAGGACACTACATAATGATAAAGGGCTCAGTCCAACAAGAGGATATAACCATTCTAAATATATATGCACCCAACACAGGAGCACCAGCATATGTGAAACAAATACTAACAGAACTAAAGGGGGAAATAGACTGCAATGCATTCATTTTAGGAGACTTCAACACACCACTCACCCCAAAGGATAGATCCACTGGGCAGAAAATAAGTAAGGACACGGAAGCACTGAACAACACAGTAGAGCAGATGGACCTAATAGACATCTATAGAACTCTACATCCAAAAGCAACAGGATATACATTCTTCTCAAGTGCACATGGAACATTCTCCAGAATAGACCACATACTAGCCCACAAAAAGAGCCTCAGCAAAATCCAAAATATTGAAATTCTACCAACCAATTTTTCAGACCACAAAGGTATAAAAGTAGAAATAAATTCTACAAAGAAAACAAAAAGGCTCACAAACACATGGAGGCTTAACAACATGCTCCTAAATAATCAATGGATCAACAAACAAATTAAAATAGAGATCAAGGAATATATAGAAACAAATGACAACAACACAAAGCCCCAACTTCTGTGGGACGCAGCAAAAGCAGTCCTAAGAGGAAAGTATATAGCGATCCAGGCACACTTGAAGAAGGAAGAACAATCCCAAATGAATAGTCTAACATAAAAAAGACCATTTTACCCATGGTGTCTTTACTACTTTGCTATTTCATTCAGTGTTCTAGACTTGAACACTAGTCTTGTGTGTGTCCTACTTCAGACAAGTGGGGAAGGGCTACTAAGATCTCTGATTTGGGCTTGTAAGTTCCCATCACCTGGGTGACCCAAACAGGGTTGCAGCTGTACAGAGCTCTTTAGTAGCCTGTCCGATAATCTTTGCCTTTGGGAAGTTCTCAGAACATAATGTCACTCCATTCAGTGCTCTGAGGCTCCCCCAATTCCTGGAGTGGTAGGGGCTTAGTTCCCACACCATGCAGATTCCAGCAAACACTGGACACCAGGCAACTGGCTTGGCAAGGGATCTGCCCTATACAAGCAGAAGCTCAGTGAACTTTAATTTCCTCCCTCTTATCCCTTGCTCTCTGCTGCCTGCATAGGCTGCTGCAATTCGCTGCCAATCTCACTTTAAGAAACTCCTTCCTTACCTATATTCATTTGATCTGCTGGAGAATCAGAGTCAAGAACCCTCCTTCCCCTGTCCACATTGAGGTTTCACCTAGTGCACAGGGAGGGACACCCCCAGACGCAGCTGCCCAACAGCACCTGGAGGCCAGGAGAGCTCCACGCCCTCTCACCCTTCCTCATACCTGCCCTGTGCATCTCTACCATCTGGCTGTTCCTGAGTTACATCCTTACATAATAAACCAAAAATCTAGTAAGTAAAATGTTTCCCTGGCTTCGGTGAGCTGCTTCTAGCACAGAGTTAGTGAGAACCTCTGACAGCCAGTCAGAAGTACAGGTAACAAATCTGGGCTTGCAAATGGCACCTGAAGTAGAAAGGGCTGGGGGCACTCTTGTAATATCAAGGAAAGAAGGGAAAAAAAGCTGAGAATACTACTAGCTTCTGAGAAGTGCTTGGCCTTAATTAACACTTGGGTTATCTAAAACAAAGACCTGATTTTGTTGTCTGTAATGTATGTCTGAACAGTTCCACCAAATTACTTTGTGCCTTAGTAATAATCAAAAAAACACCTGGTACCCTCACTTTCTGTATATATTAGTCTGAAAAATAACTTGACGGGAGCATTTCTCTACTTGCTAAATTGGAGGCTGCTCGATTCATGAAGTGCTTAATAAAACCAATTAGCTCTTCAACATTTTTTTACATTTTGACTGTTGACATCATAACATATCCTTTGTTAAAAAAAAAAAAAGTATAACTTTGTAAGAAAGTTCTCTTTGGAGCACTTTACTTCCTGGGAAGGCCAGGCAGCTGTGCTAAACCTGGGCTCAAATAAAACTCTAATGACTCTTTCCTGGAGTTTTACTCCAGGATTTTCTTTTTGGTGACATATATTGGCATGGTTGGCAGGATATCAGAGTGAGCCACCTCAGGTCCCCCAGGGCTTGACTGATCTGGTACTGAGTGCCAGCCTGGGGCCCCTTGTTCCCCTCCAGCTTCATGTCCTCTGGTGAACAGATGAGTCCTCCTGATATCCAGACCTCCTTAATTTAAGCTGACGGTGTTGACGTTTATTAGAGCAGTATAGAATTTGTACCAGTATATTCTAGGCAGGTTAGTTTAGGGAAAGCAGAAGTTGGTGGGAGTAGCTAAGAATATATGGCTGAAAATGACTTGGATAATGAAAGAAGGCTGTAACAATATCAATAAACATGAGAGATTAAGAAGTAACCTCGAAATATAAGGGACACTTGCTCCTTCCTACCCCAGCTGGCAGGAAGTGTCAAAGGGTATCTATCCCTCCGGACGTGAAGCATTCCCACCGGATCATCCTTAAAACCACAATAAAATTAAACCTGACTCATCTGGGGAAGCACACAAGAAGGAC